TGAAACTATTATAATTAAAGCTGTTACAGCCCCATCATTATCACACAATAACTGAGCAGATATGTATGCAAATTGCATACATTTTTATCAAACCAATATTAATTAAATTTGCGAATTGAATGTTTTTAATAATATCAATACAATTTCGATATTTGATCTTAATTTTGACTTTACCAATTAGAGAGAGAGAAAGATCATATTTGTTATAATTTTGTAATAAATGTCGCTTGAACTTATTATAGGCAAGTAAATTTAGTTTCGCACCCCAGTTAGAGTTTGAACTCCTCGCTCTATATCTCATATGGATTGACGGTTTTTGCAGTTCGCGGGGAGGAGATCACTCGCGGTCGCGAAGGTGTTTAACCGAAAGAAGGAAGGAAATCTAATTATAGAAGTCGTTGTGCCGCGTGCTGCGGTAGACGACGGAGGGTGTGAGTGCGGGTGCACGAATAAGAATCGGTTGCATTGGGCGGCCATAAAATGCAGCCTGCATCCGCTTGGCGCAGATGTACCGCGAACGGGGTTCGTTCACGCTCCTACGAGGAGTCCGAAAGGATCTAACGTCTTGGGGTACCGCGACCCCCACCAGGGACAATGAACTAGGAAGATCCGCGAGACGCGATTAATCGAACTTGCATGTGAGGGTTCACAGCTCGAGCTCTCCCTGCGCTAAGGGTAGTGTAACGGACTTTTCGGCGTAGCATTAAATACATTATCTCATACACATAATCGTAATCAATGTTTCATTGAGAAGTTTTCTCGAGGGCATTAAAGTAACGCGTTATCTCCATAGCCAGCTTCGTTCATTACTCCGCTCATTCATCCGGGAGCCATGTGGCTCATTTCTAACTCGTGCGGCACTTCCTGTCTCGCGTACTGCGATAAAATAAAAAGAAATAGCCTAGCTGACTCTGTAAGAATTTTATGTTGAAGAGAGAAAGAGAGAGAGAGAGAGAGAGTCAGGAGAGTGACTAGAAATCACGTATATCAAATGCGATAAAAGATATTATTTGAAGTATGTTCAGAATATGTTCCCATATGATTCGCAAGATCTCTTTGCTCTTTGTATACTGCACGCATTTAGATTGAACAAAGCAACAGGCAGTCACATTTAACGTTAAACATGCAACGCAGATTTGAGCTGAGCATGTACCAGAGTCGTCATTTTGATCCTTTCAACCTCTACATCTACTTTGATATTCTGAAACTTGTATCAATCTCTTCTGATTCTATAACCTACTAACTTTGCTGTGAGGTCCTCTTTTTATCTGCAAGTTTAAGAAATTTTATATATTGTCATTATATATATATATATTTGCCATTTAGAGTTTCCACGTGTATTAAACATACGGTGTCCTTCAGAATATAAAGATATTAAAAAGTATAGTTAAAAAATAGAGTTAAAATTTTGACTCTGATGCGAGCCGCACTCTTTGCTCTTTATCAATTGAGACATAAGACCATAGAGTATAATCTGAAGAGATAGAATCTGGAGTTCTGTTTTTGTAGATCTTTTGCTAAATCGATCGCGATCAAGTAATCGGTATATCGATCTGTGAACACTTACCTCTGAAATTCGCTAATGCGGACCTTCGCCGATTGTTTCTGGAGCAAAGGCCGACCAATCGTGCCGTCGACGAGTTCCAGCTGCTAGATCTCGCGCGTGATCAACTCGTGCCGAGCAAGCTGCGATTATTATTGTTTCCCTTTTTTCCTCCCTCCCTCATCACTCACTCCTCTCTCTCTCTGTCTCTCTTTCTCTTTCTCTCTGTCGAAGTAGCCGAGTGCATACCCGTGACGTGGCCATGTAAGGGCTAGGCGGGGGTGCCACGCCGGGCCGCTAATTTTAGATCGACTCCCGTGCTTCCAGGAGTCGACTCGGCGAATCGGCAGCTGGTGATTCGACGGGTCGCCGCTGCTGCCTCGCGCACGTGGGTCCGATGGGTACAATGCGTGTCGCAATGTTCACCGGTCGGTCATCCCCTTTCTCGCTCTTCGTCTCGGAGAAGGTCGATTTGTCCGGTTGCGCCTTGGTCCAGATGTGTTTCAACCCTCCTCCAACTAAAATGTCGATAAACATCTATCAACTGAGGTTGATCGGGAAAGTCTTCCTTGACTACAGGAATCATTTCTTCACTATTTCTGATCGCCAGGAGTCACGCGCCGAACATCGTGCTACGTTACTTTCCAGCCCAATTTCCAGTCTCTTTTGCTTTGTTATCTTGTTAATCTGTATACTTCCAATCACGCATTTGTCCATGTGTGAATAGAGTTAATTGGTGAATAGGTATTTTCGGCACTATCTTTAATAGTGAATTGAGGAGTCACTCATGTCACCCATTCGAACCAGTTTTTTAAATCAAAATTGTTTAAATCAAAAGTTTATGTAGCTTTTTTCAAGCCTCAACTAATGGATCATGAGGTTATTTTAAAAAAGTGGTAAGTGATTTTTAAATCTTTTTTTTTTACAAAAATCTAGGAAAAAACCGGTTTAACTTAAAAAATCATAACTTTTGCAATTTTTCTTAAAAAAGAAAAAAATTGAAGTTTTATGGTTAAATACATTGAAATAACTTAAAAAATTATTAAAATATACAATATATAAAAAAAGTAAATGTTCATTTAAGTATTTACACAGAACAAAAGTAAATGTTCATTTAAGTATTTACACAGAACACATTTAAAAAAATGAGAGGGAAAAGGGAAAGGCACTCGTGTCCAGAATTAAGTTACTTCGGCTGCTATTCAGACAGTAATTAACGAATTTTGTCGCTACTGAATCTCACATGCCATTACTATGCTAACTCTTTTCTTTGAATATATATGAGGAAATTACAAGATGAGGAGAAAATTATTAAAAGTACCCAGACACGGATAAAGCTCTCTAATTCACTTTAAGAGTTAATTACACGAGCGCAACACGAAAGAACTCAAGAGTTAATTAATTCTCCGACCTCCGTTCGCAATAAAACACGACGACAAAGAGAAACCGGAAACCAAGCGAAATCCTCGGAAAGCGTCAGAGAGGGCCGCGGGTAAAAACGCATCCGATGCATCCTTTGCGATGCGGAAAGGGGAAATGAACGTGTGCGCGAGCGCGCGAACGTCCCTTTGAGCACGAGCTAAGGCGGCAGGGGGTAAAGGCAGACGATCTGGTGGCGGCTGGTGCAGCGGATGTTTGAAACCGCTGAAGAAAGCGAGGCGGTGGTTCCTGTCCTGGCCTCCCTCTTCATCCCGCCGCCGCCATCTCTCGCGATTCTCCCGGTCCTCCTCTTCCCGGTCACCACACCGCGTAGGAAGCACCTCGGCGGATGTGATGTTTAAGACAGAACCACCCCGATGCTGACAAAAAACCCCGTATAAATAGGCGGTGGTTGTTGCTGGTCGCGGTTGACGGCCGCAAACCGATATCGCACGTGTCGCGTTCTGACCCACATAGTCGGATTTGATTGTTTGTGAAGCGACCAACGGCCAATCTTTCTTCGTTTGGATAAGTCCTTCCGTAGGAGGAAGAAAATAAAAGAATTACATCAATCTCATGTGGTTCTCACGGGTGAGATAAAACCGAGTGTACGAAATAAAGTGAATAATAAAACAATTTACGATTTTTCCAGGAAGTTTCAATTAGAAGCTATCAACTCGTACAGCGTTTAGTCACGTAGAGTTGTTGTAGTGTTCTACCACATAACAATCTTAATTTCTAGACCGATATAATTTTCGGTCATTTAAGACTTCTGTGTCCTCGCCGCGGCTATGTTTACGCCAGAAGTGAAAAAACGTGTAGCCAAAATTCTTACGGAATTCGTCGAAATAAAAAACTGTACCTATAAAACGACACTTTTGATCGATTGAGCACATTTGTAAAATATCCCAAAAATTATTCTTTTACTTTTACAGGAGCCTCTCTCTTAATGGAAAAATAAATCGAAAGTATTACAGATATACGATCGTATGTCTGGTGTTTGACATATACTCGACACGTGAGCATATCGTTGCCCTCCCTCTTCGGGCTCCTGCTGAGGCATCGGGAGACCTCCCGGCGTCTGTCCGGCCCGCATATGCACAAGCGAAGGGCCTCTTCGTTTTTCGAATTGTTTCACTTGCTGGTCTTTTTACCAAAAGCTGAAGACGTATAAAAAAAGGAAGTGGGCCCGGAGACCAACGCGCGGCTCACACCCCCTTGGTGTCTTCCTCTTGCGGGATTGTAAATAGATACTTTCTGTGGTCGACTATGTGCAGTGTCAACTCCGTGGGAGAGGGTGAATGAGATCTCCAACCACTACTGTCAGCCACATGCTATAACTTAATGTCAGCAATACCGAAGATATTGTCTACAAATGGAAATATCTTCTCTGATATAGGAAAGGGTACTCTTTTTCCAAAAAGAATAAACAAATAATATTTACAATTTCTATCAATTATAAAGTGTCATAATTAAAGACTAAAGGAAACAAAGAGATTTTACTTTTTAACTTGTGTCTTGATTTACGAAATTAACTTTTGTCTTGATTAAGAAAGATTAAATGTGTCTTCATTAAGAAATTAACTTTTTAATGAAATTGTTGATAGATAAAGTAAAAAAAGATCACTTTTAGAAAAATTCATATTTCTGTGGATACGAAAATGCTATAAATTTAAACGGACCGCTTTAATGGTTTAATGCGTAAACATACGATTGGGAACAGTACGGCGGTATGGTGCATATTCTCTTATGGGGAAGTATCACCTGCTCTTATTGTTTAAGCAAGCGGAGTGAACCGGCGTCCGGTGCAGATTGCGACCGGCGCGTGCCCGGTTCGCGGAAACCCGACACTCTTACTTTTACGACATTCTGCACAATGCAGGCGCTCAAAAGTCTTTAGAAAAGCTGCACCCGTTCTTTCTGTGACGCGACATGTGCATGAAGAAATCAGGCTTGTGATGCCCCTCAAGGATTGCCTCAGGTTCTTTAGACTCACACTTGACTTCGATGATAAAAACTACTTTATATATATATATATATATATATATATATATATATATATAATGAGACTTTATGATTTCTATTTATATAAATTCAGACATACGTAGTTAAAAAAGAGAGCTTAATAAATTTGTAACATATTAAAGAGTTGCATATAGAAATATATCTCAAAATGTGAAAGTCTTGAACAACATGGTCTTCATGTCGAGAATGTCATAGAGCCACTTCGGTCTAAATATCATGTCCAACCGATGAGCAAACTGGTGCCCTTCGAAGACGTACGAAACCTGTTATGAAATTATTCGTGATCACGAAAACACGTTTAATTTAACACTTGATTATGTACACCAATCGGGAAATCTGGCTAACATTTCATACTTTTTACACAATTATCTTCCTCTGTCTTAAATATTTATATTATATCATAGCCGAGCCATAATGGAATACATTTTAAAGTGATTCTCGATATGACCCAGACCAGCTTGTTCCTGTCGGCGCGTAGTTGACGCACGCACGCACGCACGCACGCGTGCGCGCGCGGCCGTGCGAGGGGAAAGAGCTGAAAATATACATAACAAACTAACGTCGACTGGAAAGTGCGGCGGCTGCACGCGACTCGCCGCGATGTAGAAGAACACGCTGACAGTCACATATGGCTCCGGGTATGCCGGCGTAGGTATGCTCCAGAGAACCTGATATGTATAAAATTCGGCGGTCCCTTCTCTATTGAGGCCGATGAACTCTACGTGAAACATCCAACTCTTCAGAGCCTGGAGAAAAAGAGAGAATTGATAAAATGCGTCTTTCTCACTCTCTTTGATGACCAATTTGCTGAAAATTGTTTACTGGCAGTTGGTTCCATCTAGCCATTTCCTTTTCCACACATTGCTGGGCGTTTCGCACGTTGATATTGCCACAGGTAGGCCACCTTATACCGGGATAGGTATGTGAATTGGTCAGCGTATAAGGTTTATCACAATGGGATTGTTGTTCCTAACAGATTGTATATGTGATCAGTAAAAATGATGATTCGTGAATCTCGTAATACATAATAATTTATACAATGTTGAAATACAGTTGTAACATATTCAAGAGTTATAATCACATAGTAATATGATGATATGATAATGTACTAAGATGACAATAAAATTTATTTTTTATGTATCATTCTGGAATAAGTCAAATATTGCAAGTGCACAAAAACAAGGTAACTTCCCAACGATAATCCGAGAAAATGTATAGAAGAAAATTCCATAAAAAGCTATAAAAACATTTTAATTAATCAAGATTAACGAACCATGATAGTAATAATCTTTATCGTTGCGGTGATGATGGAATCGATGAATCTTCTCGCGAAGCGCACAATGTCTTGATAAGATTCAAAATTCTGGCCTGTCATCGCAAATTGCATATTGTATACCGATCGCTTTTTTCGTGTAATCATTTCGACAAAATAACCTGTAGAGAACGGATTTCAAAGTACTGTCATCGTCGAGATCTCGAGATAATTTATTTTGTCGAATATACAGTCAATAGCGATCGTTACGTTTTTGTGTAAAAAAAAAAAACAAATCTTCTCTTTCTACGCATATACATAAATAGTTGCAACACTTATCTTTATCATGATGTATATTCATCTACAATCATATATAAGATACCTCTCTCTCTTTCTCCCTCTCTCTCTCTCTCTCTCTCTCTCTCTCTCTCTCTTTCTCTCTCTCTCTCTCTCTACACACATACGACAATTAAATATAAATATATATGTATACGCCGACTTAAGTTTACATAAACAATCTGTAATACTAGGTCATTAAAGCTTATATTAACAGTCATTTTTGGAGTGATTAGTGTGGTCATGTTGCATACGCGCCGCTTTCGTAGACGCTTCCAATCCTGTCACAGCCGCGAGAACTTCGAATAGGCTTTCCATAAGTCTGCCAAAAATCTCCGACATCTCGTCGTCTTTTCTCGTCACCACGAATATATCTAAAACGTTAATATTGCATATTTGCTTTGTTATTTTTTCTTCAAAAAGGAACATATGTTAAAAATCTTCCATCTTCTTTGATTGAGTTTTAAGAATATTTGACTATTCTTCTTTACACTCACCCGATCTATCTTGGCCTATATATTTGCAGTACATGTTAACGGCAGTTGTTACGTCGTCATCGTCGTGGAAAGGATCGCCTGGCCATTGTGCTCTGTGTAGTCTCACGGCCTCGAGTGCCGGGCACCATCGTGCGTTTCTCAGCAGTTCCGCGACTCTAGCAACTTCTTCCACGGCACCGGCACCTGGCAAAGGACTAGGACTAGGTGTTGGAGTAGGTGTCCCTCGTTCGCTCTCGGTGCTCTCCTCGAGCGCTCTACTCAAGGCTATTTTCATATTGGCGATCTCGATGGAAAGATCTTGCAGAGGAATTTGCACGTTTCTGGCGGCGTTCATTAGCGCACCCAACATCTTGTTAGACGCCTCGATTAGCAACAGAAGTTGAAAGTGCAGTTTATAGAGCGCTCGGCCCATATCCAACAGCATCTCTTCGACACCCGCTTCCGTGGTGTGACTGCTGCCTAACGCTTGAAGCTTAGCAGTCGCTTTAGCTGCTTCCAAACACTGCAAGAAAAATAAATATCTATAAATATATAAATATATCTATAAATATATATAATGTTTATTTATGTTAGACAACCGGAAATCTCGCGAAATAAAGTCAATGATGATATCGAAATATTCTAATAGAAATATATTAACAAAACTTACTTCCGTAGCATGATCCTTTCTATACAGAAATGTTTCTAGATGTTCCTGAACCTCCAACATTCCGAAGCGCAATGTCTCGTTTAATCGCTGATTCGCGAATATAGCTACGGAGAACCATACCAAAGGCGGCTCGGCTTTCGAACTGAGTAGCTCGGCATGACTAGATAAGTGGCAACCCAAGTGAGCCGAAGCGGAGCTACCGTTGCTGAGTAAAGCGCTTGCCTCGCGTGTAAGACCGACGGACTTACTGCTCACATCCTAAAGATTATAAAAAAGAATAATTTTTATAATACATCCGAGGGGTACTTCTACATGAAATTAATTACTTTAAGTATTACTTTTTTCCAACAACCGTATTTTTAATCAAATAAATCGTAACAATGTGTTATATTCTTTTCATAAGAACATGTTAACATTGGTATCAATATTGATATTGCGCTTCTCGTAACACTTACTCTTAAAATCTTGCTCAGCAACTGGAAAAAGCTCAAAGTATTATATGGAGCTTGAGTGATGAGACTTTGAATTTGTTGTTTCCAGATATCTTCAGCATCGTCTCGTACAACCTGTCGAAAGGGCATCAGCGTGGACAGATTCGGTGATGCGTTGCATGGTGTCACATCTCCGAGGTCTCCCGCACTCGAACCGCTGTAGGTCACGGATTCGAGTGAATCGATTAATATGCGTGTTTTCAAAAGTCTTCACACGGAAACTTACGATGTGTCAGACCTTGTGGATGAGTCGTGACGCGTGCGACTCGGTATCAGCGAGAGAGAAGATGGCGGGAACATTCCCGGAATGCTGTTCGTTTCCTGGCCCGTCCCGGAACCACCTGGTACTTCGTCCAAGGGCGATTCCGATCCGGCTTCATCGTCTGACGATTCCTCGGCAACTCCACGCTACGTATTTAAGATTTTAAAATTAATTACATGTAATTTAGTCAAGTTACACCAAGCGTAACGATCACAATAAGAAAACAGGTTTATATAGGTGTAATAAGATTTTAACGTATATTTACCCGTGTAGTATGTTTGCTGGACGATGGCGTCTTCTCACTTAGACTTTCCTCGAATTGTCTCAAACTAGGTTCTCGCTCTTCTCCCTCGCTAAGAGGACGACGTCGAACACCCCAATTAAAGTTATCCGTACTCTCGCCCTGAAAAGTTTCATGGAGACCGATTTAAATTAGCATATTTCATGTGTAGAAGAGATATAATGAAGTATCGTAGCTTACCTCGACACTTTCACTTTCGTATTCAAGGAAGTCGAAGTCTTTAAATACGCCAAATTGTTCATCGTCCCGTCTAGATCCTCCGCTCAAATCATTATTTGCACCAGAAACTTCCTCCGTTGAAGAAGCCATAGATGATTGTCTTTCCATCAAGTCCGAACTTTGGCTGAATATAACCTGAATTAAAAATTTTTCGATGACGTGAGAAATATGTATAATATGACAAAATAAATTGAAGGGATTGGAAGCACAAATATATAAGTGACAAACAAAAACAATGTAATTATTTATAATTTACAAATATAGATTACTTATAGATGTTTTCTATTTAAAAATATTTTTTTATAATAATGTATCGTATAGTTTTATATACACACATACACACACACACTCATATATATATATATATAATATAAAATTCACTTATACTTTGTTACTTCTCAATTAAATCCCTCAACTGATATTGCCTTCAACAATATATTCCAATTTCGACCACGTGACTTTGTACAAGATATTTAGCAATTGTGCACACATGTGTTTTACAATGACTAGTTGTGCATACAGAGTGCCTTAGAACTATCGAATATTTCTTCAAATTCTAATTAAATAATAAATTTAAACAATTTTAATTATTCGAGAAATATAAGAAAGATTTTTAATGTTATAATGTAATGAAGTTAAAAACATTGAATATAAAAAATGGCAATGTACAACTTTGTTTCAAATTTTCAAAGAATCAGTAATTAATGCGATAGCAATAAAGCAATCTGTATATAATTATATGCATATTGATCACGAATAATACATTGTTTTACAGACAACTGCATTTATTACACTGCACTGATAACACATTGTCATCAAATAATGAAAACTATGTTCCCAGTAATTTTTTAGCGATTATCAAGCAAGGGAATATATTAGAATATTTGCCACTATATAGATCGACTTTTGCACAGTTTCAACGGACGACAAAGCGTTAGAAAGTAATAGGTTCCAGATAGATGTGCGGAGAAGTTACGCTACTACCACTTCATAAGATTTTATGCAAACGCGTGAACAAATTTCTCTGCTTCCGCAACAATGTGCAAGTGACAACATTTTTACGAGACTATTTGAAGCGTGATACGACCTATAGAATATATCTTAATAGATTACAAGTACTTGTACTATCGTGAATCAACAGTGAGTGCAAGTTGCATTTAATAATAACCTTTTACCTTGCTATACAATGTCATTGAACTAATGTGCTCATCCTAGAAAGGGGTACATAATGAAAGTCAGTTGGCTTTTTGGTAAGGTAAGGTATAAAAACCGCGCAGTCCATAGGATAGGAAAGTTCACACTACTCGGATAATAATTAAAGTACACTGCAAACATACCGATGGGCTCTTTGGTAATCCCACTCTTTGTCCACACGTAGTCAATAGATTTACTAAGCACTCTCTGACGCGACCCTGTTAATAAAAATAAGATAAAAATAAGATATAAATAAGATAAAAATATAATAATAATATAAATAAAATAAAAATTTAATTCTATAAGTGTATGGTTCAGTATTAAATAATGTTGTATGTATTAAACTTTGTGCATAAGCGTCTTCAACGTTTCAAAAATTTTTAAGTTCTACTTGAGTATATAATAATCTTTCATCTCTTATAAAAATGAGATTAATTTATATACTTGTGACATCCAAGGTTTCTTCCATCCTGCGATAGTACTATTGTCAGCTGGAGATAAGGATAACGAGCAACGCGGAGAACCGAGTGACTTCTCTTCCACACCTTGACGTATCAACCATCGTCGACCAATCACTGGCGTTTGGGACAGGTCAAATGTGAAGTCCATTGTCCTTCCTATTCATGGAAATAAAATAGACATATACAAAAAATATCAATAAAAGAAGAAAAAAGAATAATATTTAGTAAGTAGCAGCAATGTCTTTCTATATTTTTACATGATAATATAAAACAAATAATTTTTATTGCGCTTTTCGAAATTATTTAGCTCTACTAAAAAAGATACATATCTTAAAAATCCAGGTGCAAATCGAAGACATAGAAGTACAGGTGAAAGCTACATATTTATGGGAATATAAAAGTTGTTTGATTATATATTAGACTTGAAAAAAAATTTTATTTTACACGAAGCGATTACAATCTATCTTTATCGTTATTCTTGTCACAACCTGATTGTTATGTGATAAATCATCCGTGTCATGCATGCATGCCGCGCCGCAAAAGAGAAAGAAAGGGAGAAACAAAACCAATAATAGATGCAGGAAACAATAAATGTGCATTATTAATTTACGGAGACGTGGACTTACCAGGTAATTCTTTCTTGGTAAATATCTCGGTGTCGGTGAAACTAGGATGTGGTGACGCCAACGAAGATTCCCAGGATGAACCGTGCATCGATGTCGGCGGAGCTACGAGTGTAGACGATCTCGTTACTACAAGCTTCAAAATTTTAAGCGCTTCTTTCCAGTGAGTTCCCTGAAACGTAAATCTATTCATTAGACAAACACAATAAACTGATACATTGCGTTCTTATAATCAGAAATTAAAGAATCGATATTATGTGGTAAGATCAAATTAATATATAATAATGATAATTGTTAAAATATATTTGTTAATTTTACCTCGACATATTTAGATATCACTCTCAAAAGCTCGGTGTTGATCGGCTGCGCGGCTGGTGACGCTAGATCTACGTAATGCAACATACAATGTATAATACTGAGTACAGGTAATGCCACACTGCTCGGGCCTTTCTCTAGAACCTCCACGAGGAAAGCAAGCATGTTGAAACTGAGATGAGCATACGAGTCGTATAAGTATTTCACTACACATTTAGTCCACTGGAAGCTTTCCTTGCTAAAGGTACGTCGGCTGTATAATGTCATGACTGTACCAAGATTTTCCAATTTCTTCCCTTTTTCTGCACTTACCTACAAAGGGAATCGCAAATTTTATAATAGAATTACAGAAATGTAAATATATAGTTGCATTTAGTTAACAATATAATATTTAACAAGAGAATATTTTTTATTTATTAATAAGGTAGAAAAAAATAAATAAAAATGAACCTACTTGTGCAATATTTTCGGCGCTTCTGATACAAAGTTCGTTGGCATCCTCATAATTCAGTAACATATAAGGTAGCAATGATACAACGTTCATCGGAAACGCAAGGCTTTGCGTAGGATCAACTACTGGTAGATCTAACAGAGGTGTAAATTGAGATAATAACGTAACGACTGGCTCGTACGTATTGGGACTAGTGCATCCTTTCAATAAAAGTGCGTGTACGCCGGGAAACGAGGTCCATCGTAGTTGTTGCTGCAGTTTTTCAACTTTATCTCTAGCGTCTGGTCGATCGAGCGGTAATCTGTGTAGCACACGGCTGAGAAGCCGCAGCGCCAAAAGGAACTCATGCTCGTAATCTGATTCAAGCAAAGATACTGATAACCAAAACAGCTGTGCTAATATAGTCATCTTGTCATCCTGCGTCGCAGAATCGCCTAATAACTTCAAGGATTGCGCTGATCTTGATCTAGACAGATTTGAGTTGGGATATTTGCTACCACCGACTCTATTTTCCAATTCTGTAACAAAAAATTGTCTTGAAAAGCTGTAAACTAAAGTTAAAAATTAAATTTTAACATTTTAAAATAATATAATGATCGATTATACGAAGTAATTTTCAACTTATTTTTCTAATCTGAAATTAGTAATCTTAAAAGCAATTCTATAATTTTGTTTTGTATTTTTTAAATTTCCTTCCTTATATTTGAAGCTTCGTAGTTTCATTCCTCAAAAAATGCCATAGCTAATAATAACCTTTTATGTCACTAGCTGCGGAATTGCCACCGCTGGATCTCTTCATGCAATAACTGACCGAATAGCTGGTGCTCCTTGTATGTCCACCTTGGTTTAAGTGAGAAAATATATGCGGTCCAGCAGGATAACCATTTCCTCCTGGGCTACGCTTTCCTCCGATTATAATTCCCGATACCGGGTCTTTGTTATTCAAATTCGGTGTCGATTTAAAGATTTCTTTCATAAAATCGAGCGGTCTAAAATCTGACTCGAGAGAATCGACAGCAGCTTCCAATGTTAGTAACAATTCCGTTACGTATCCCTGATGTACATCAAGAAAATTATAAAATAAGAATCAAGAATATAGAATCAAGACAAAGTGCAATTTTAAAACTATAAGTCTCAATGTTTCATAATACCTGCATATCTTCTCCCTGTTCGGCAACTGTCTCTACGAGTCTAGATAAAATATCAGACAACATTCTAGAGGTTATAGGGACGCGCAACGCCCGAAAAACTTGCAGAGATCTTCCTGCATAGTGCCTGGACGAACAAGAAAGACCTAATTGCAATGCCGTTTGCGCCCATCTTTGACTGACTAACGCATGCGGCAGCGAATCTCTGAAGACACGTAACACGTGACGCAGTAATACTGTGAGTTGCTCGGCGCTACGGACCCACCACACTTTAGCGGTCATGTCCTCGTAATTCCATAAAGGTTGATTAATTCTGTTGTGAGGAAATTGAGATATCAAGTAAGGATTTTTGTCTAATCGTGGAGGTGATTAGTGTACTTACCTAGATGCTAAGAAATTAATTAAAGACTTAATAACGTCTTGTATTGGCATATTAGGTCCTGGCTGAGGACCTGTCCAGTTATTTACGTCTTCCGGCGTTACAATTACAGGCGGCACTGCATTTGTCGTCGCCGTCGTCGTTGTCGTTGTCGTCCCGCTCGAAGTTGGCCAGCTACACACCGCTGATTCTGTTGCAATATTTATTTCTGTTTTAGACTCAAATATGCTTATATTGCAACCCAACTTGTATATAAATCAGACTAATTAATTATATATGCATCGTACCATAATGAGAATTCCCATAATCTTTACAATCATCCATCATCGACTGATTCACGTGATTCATCGACATCGGTGGAGTGGACGTCGAGTTTGGTAAGGGTGAATGAATTGATGTATCGTCCATAAGCGAAGAAGAGGGTAAGGGAGGCGGAGGAGGCGGCGGTGGTGGCGGTGGAGGCACCGGTGGGGATGCTGACGAGTCGGGAGGCATAGGTGGAGGCGGAGGTGGAGGTGGTGGAGGCGGCGGAGGTGGCGGCGAAGAAGGTGGAGGTGGTGAAGATGACGGTGGTGGAGTAGTGGGTGGCGGGGCTGGCGGAGGGCCGTACAGGTAGCTATCAAATTCCGGATCCACCTCCGTGAAATTGTGTTCTAACACTGGTAAAGCCGGAGTAGACAATCCCAATCCCAATTGTTCTGTTTTCGAGGCGAGAAGCACGCGCGCTACTCCAAGATGATCGCGATGATCTCCAAGCACGACCAGCAGATTCAACAGTAGGCAACGACAGTGATCGCGGACGAGCGGTCTTGAATGATCCAGACCGAGAAACACTATGTGTAACATCAGAGGAACATGTATGGCCCAATCAAGCTGGATTCCGTCGACGACAACATCGGTCAGCAACATTACGGCGATGTTACATCTAAGATTTAGACAGGGATATTAGTAATGTAATTTTGTAGTGTATTTTTGAAGAGAAAAGTAGCTATAGATATTGCCTTTACCTATGAAAGCCGCTTATTGGCTGAGAGCTGTCGGGCAAGTACTCAGTTAAAGGAGCGAAGTAACCACCGTACTCCGGCATCGGTAAAGGGTGCGGTTGAGGAATATCGAACTTCTCGTCGACGCATGCCATCTTTCCGTTCACTCCGACGGGCCCGTTACGAGCGGCATAGCACGATTCGTCGGTGGTTAACTGAAAGCGTATTCATCAATATTATATATTTGATCTGTTTTTTATAAATGTATATTTATGTTTTTGCAATAATTTCATATATTTATCAATAGTTTCAATAGTCTTATCATAACGTACTTCGGCTTCCGTGGTCGGAGTTGATAGATCGTCTGGAAGAACTGGCGGACCGCTCGCAGTCCTTGTCTTTTCTGCCCTTGGAGTTTGAAACCCCGCGAGTGCTCGAAGCGCAGTATCGGACTTTGAGCTGTAGGAAAATTTAAATGTCAGAATAGATGTCAAAATTTCCGGGATCTTTCCGACGAATATCTATAATTATACAATCTTGGCGTAGTGAATGACAAATTCTGCATAAATGTTCACAGACTAATTGAGTAATGATTTCAAACGTGCGTAAATAATTTTGAGCAACACAATAAAAATTCTATCGGAGAGATTGCTATAAAAACCTGCAACAACGAACGTTACTTACCCGGTTTTGACGGGATCCTCTCCTGAGTGCCTTTTCGTATGAATGGTTCCTTTTTCGACACCGAGATCTCGGGGTGGATTGGCAGGGTCGGCAGCGGGTGCGTCGCTGTGCGACGAGGCTTTTCTCATGCTGGTGAGTCGATAAAAGGGCGGTGTTTCCGTCCTTTCAATCAAGCAGTTCAATGTTTCGACTGTTTCCAATTCCGTCATCATCTCATCGACAAGACGATCTGGGCGAGCCCGCGCCAGATATAGTACTACACGCTTTGCCTAAAGAACATAGAATATTACTTTAGATATACCTACCATCTCGGTTGTTGCATCGTGAAAGATGTACTTACGTATGGCAGTAACTCTTGAGGTGCCATTCCTGAAACGATGATCAGATAGCGGATTATGACTTTGAGATTGTTGGGCCAACAGCCGCATAGAGTAGCCCATAGCTCTTCCGTCTCTTTGGGATGTTCATCCGAGAACTGCAAAACGTTAAAAATTAACCAGATTTAGGTAAGACTTAACGTGACGAATAATTCAAAAGTACCTTGGCCGTAATGTAGAAGAGATTATTGAGCACCATTTCCGTCGCTTCTGCGCTACCCCAGCCTTCTCTGCGCGTTCCTCCGCGCGTCACGTCACTCGTGTAATACTATAAATAAAAAGAAATTATTTTAAGAAATGTTTGTGTACACAAGAAAGAAGAGCAGGTGCGAATGATTACGGTCATTGCTGATTGCACAATAAGAAAGATTATAAAAAAAACCATATGGAGGCGCCGGGTATCGATCCCGGTACTTCTCGCATGCGAAGCGAGCGCTCTACCATTTGAGCTACGCCCCCGATAGATACTTAAGATTAATATAATCATTGATAATTGTTGATAATCACGCGATATGTGAGATTTTAAGTACAGCTCTCGATTGAGCTCTCGATTTCTATCTTCATAGTTGAATTTCCGTGCACGTGTAATCCACGAGATCGTAACATTAGCGTATATGCGAACTGTTGCATCGCAATTAGCATGCAATTTCCGAGCATTCTGTTTGCAACAATACTGATAACTGTTTGGGGTTTGTTTACAGAGCAACGATCACTTTTCCCAAACATGTAATCGAGGATTACAAAGAGATTCCAGCGTAATTCCAAACGAGAAGCTGATTTATCTCATCGTAAACCAATAATAGCGCAGGGATACCTACTAATATACCAAATATACCAAATATACCAAATATTGAACGAGCAGAGTTACTTGCGTATAATCAAAGAAATTTTTTGAAAATTGTCAATAATAATTTGAAGTCAATTATATCACAGAAAAGCGTAGCTTTATTTTATTTCGCATGTGCGTTGCACTTCGAGAGGGAACGGTTAGGACCTCCTAATATTATATTTTAAACTTCGTTTAAAAATAGATCACTTTCACAAGCCTCTAAAATACCATCAAGTCAATCATATTGACGTACTCCATTTGTCACACTTTTTGTGAAAAGCTAAAATGACGACTAAAGCTTGTGTCACACTACAGATTGAAGATAGAGGATTGCGGGTTGAAGATTGGAACTTGACCAATTGGAGCCAAGCAGGCCAAGATCAAAGTGCATTGATTCCTCGAAATCTAATCTTCAATCCGCAATCCTCAATTTCCAATCTGTAGTGTGACACGGGCTTAAGATCTTCCAAAATCACACTTTGAATTTTCGCTCGAATACATATTCACAAACAAGATCCAAAATTTGATTACTAAGGTAAGTATGTACGGGGGCGTAGCTCAGACGGTAGAGCGCTCGCTTTGCATGCGAGAGGTACCGGGATCGATACCCGGCGCCTCCAAGATTACTTTTTTTTGCATCCTTTCACCGAAAGTGGATCACGATCACGAATCACAACATTCCTGTCAATGATCTAGAGCATAGGGGGCGTAGCTCAGATGGTAGAGCGCTCGCTTAGCATGCGAGAGGTACCGGGATCGATACCCGGCGCCTCCAAGATTATTTTTTTAAATCCTTTCACCGAAAATGGATCACGATCACGATACTTAACAATCCTGCCAAATGATCCAGATCACAGGGGGCGTAGCTCAGATGGTAGAGCGCTCGCTTAGCATGCGAGAGGTACCGGGATCGATACCCGGCGCCTCCAAGATTATTTTTTTAAATCCTTTCACCGAAAATGGATCACGATCACGATACTTAACAATCCTGCCAAATGATCCAGATCACAGGGGGCGTAGCTCAGATGGTAGAGCGCTCGCTTAGCATGCGAGAGGTACCGGGATCGATACCCGGCGCCTCCAAGATTATTTTTTTAAATCCTTTCACCGAAAATGGATCACGATCACGATACTTAACAATCCTGCCAAATGATCCAGATCACAGGGGGCGTAGCTCAGATGGTAGAGCGCTCGCTTAGCATGCGAGAGGTACCGGGATCGATACCCGGCGCCTCCAGAATTATTTTTTAAAAATTCTTTCACTAAAAATGGATCACGATTATGATTCTTAACAATCCTGCCAAGTGATCCAGATCACAGGGGGCGTAGCTCAGATGGTAGAGCGCTCGCTTAGCATGCGAGAGGTACCGGGATCGATACCCGGCGCCTCCAGAATTATTTTTTAAAAATTCTTTCACTAAAAATGGATCACGATTATGATTCTTAACAATCCTGCCAAGTGATCCAGATCACAGGGGGCGTAGCTCAGATGGTAGAGCGCTCGCTTAGCATGCGAGAGGTACCGGGATCGATGCCCGGCGCCTCCAACATTATTTTTTTAATCCTTTTATCGAAAATGGATCACGATCACGATTTTTAACAATCCTGCCAAGTGATCCAGATCATAGGGGGCGTAGCTCAGATGGTAGAGCGCTCGCTTAGCATGCGAGAGGTACCGGGATCGATACCCGGCGCCTCCAATATCTCTTTTTTGATTCTTATTTCGAAAGATAATTTTTAATGTCCAAAATATAATTCAGATTATAAAACAAGTAATTCATAAGAATAATAAACGTGTAGCATCTTTAATATATCATGTTTCTCAAACAATGCTTCCGAAAAAATTTTCAAAGTATGTGAGTCAATTTGAGTAGTAAAGATGCACACACACTTTAAATCACGGTGAAAGTCATCCAATTACAAATTGTAGACACATCTTGATTATATCATCAATTTCTGACGAATTAAAGTTTTTCTAAAAATAACAAATTATAACTTTGTAAGGTATAATGAAAAACAGTAATTTATATATATATATATATATATATATATATATATATATATATATATATATATATATATATATAATATTTTGTTAACTCTAGAATAGTAACGTTATATCGCAGCATGGTTTAAATATTGTTTATAACCGCTTAATTTGCCGATTATATTCTTGTTTCTCCTATTTGTTCGTATAAAAATTTATTCGACGAGAACATCAGAACTTCAGAATTTTGGAGCGGATTCTAACTTTCTACAAGCTATTCCAGGGTTAATTATGAAAATGAGCTGCACTCACCTGATAATAACTCAGTGGATTTGACGGCGGTGGTACGTTGGGATCGACAAGTTCCATATTATGTAGCCAAGGTAACAAATATTGTAGTAGTAATTGCCGAACTTCTCTGCGAGCCGTTTGAAACCGATGGGTAATCTCTGAAACATGTATTTTCGTTAAAATGAAGATTACGTCATTACAGATCGTTTCATTCTCTCTCACGATTCCATCAATCTTGCGCAAACTGATTTTCAGTAAAATTAATAAGCACGTCAGTCGATCAAGTTTAATTTTCATTATTCATCTTCACTCAAACGTAAATCCGCGCAGTATAAAAGTAATATAGAAACAGAGTTCCGCATTAATTATTAATATATATAAGTGAATATTTTAATCAATACATTAATCAATAATGTCAGCTAAAAATAACTAAGTCGTATGTGAAATACTAGTTTAATTTTTAAAAAGTAATGGACAATTAATTCAAATCAGAGTTTACAGAAACAGCGCAGAAATATAAATTCTTCTTTTGTAGAAGTTTTTATTTTTCTATAAGCAGCAAATTAAAATGTAAAGTTTGTTTTTATAAGATACGAAATAAAAGTTCGTTCAGTCGATAATAACTAACAACGTTCGCTCAAATAAGCTACATCATAGCTTATTTGAATAATTTCTATCAAATGAATTTAAATGGACTTATATTTCATATCTGCCTTGCTAATTTCTAATTATCTGTTGTAATTTCTATTAAACGAATTTAAATGGACTTGTATTTCGTATCTGCTAATTATCTGTTATGCTATTTTTTACAATTATTATTATTATAATTATATTATATTTTACAATTATTATTATTATAATTATATTACTATTATATCTTACAATTATTATTATTTTTCACACAAGATATTAAAAACTACACGTATAAATTTATGTATTTGATTATATACATATAACACTATTATTATTGTGGATTGAGGTAGCAAGATCAAGATGTGATAAAATCAACGAAAATTTATTTCTCCTTTGTTGACAATGGAGTCCATTTAATGTCGAACAAAGAGTACAGTCCATTAGAGAGTTCTGAAGCAGTTGAAGAGCGAAAACAAGAGAGAACAAACTTCCCAAGTAAAGAGAACAGGGTAAAGATAATAATAACAATGTAATAGGGACGATCAAACAATTGTTACATGATAATCGAGGTTTAAAACGTTTACTTGTTATTCACGTTTACTTGATCTTGCTACCTCAATCCACAATAATAATAGTGTTATGTGTATATAATCAAATACATAAATTTATACGTGTAGTTTTTAATATCTTGTGTGAAAAATAATAATAATTGTAAGATATAATAATAATATAATTATAATAATAATAATTGTAAAATATAATATAATTATAATAATAATAATTGTAAAAAATAGCATAACAGATAATTAGCAGATACGAAATACAAATCCATTTAAATTCGTTTGATAGCAATTACAACAGATAATTAGAAATTAGCAAGGCAGATATGAAATATAAGTCCATTTAAATTCATTTGATAGAAATTATTCAAATAAGCTATGATGTAGCTTATTTGAGCGAACGTTGTTAGTTATTATCGACTGAACGAACTTTTATTTCGTATCTTGTAAAAACAAACTTTACATTTTAATTTGCTGCTTATAGAAAAATAAAAACTTCTACAAAAGAAGAATTTATATTTCTGTACTTAATGTTGTTAAGATTACTGGAGCCAAAGAAAAAACAGAGGGGATTTTACGTCAAGCAACAATCATTAAATCATTGTATAACAAAACATAAATTTACATAATTTTTATATATTTCAGTCTTTTTTCATCTAACACCGAATTCCTTTCGCAACAAGTACTTTAAATTTTCTGGGACATATCTATATATCTATAAAGTTCAGAAACTTTAATTTGTACTTTAATATTACCATGGTTTGTAAAAAAATTGCGTGTTACTTTTTTATCTCAAGAGCTATGTAATTCCGCAACATACGAATCTAGGCTTCACATGTGCTTCAAATAAAATCGACTTTTTTATTTCTTGATTTTCATATTTCTTTTGAATGCAATATAAAATATTAGATTTCATAATATAAAATTGTAGTTTTATATAATATTACTCCCGAAGGTGGAGAAAAAGGAAAATGTCCTTTCAGTCGCGTTAACTTAAACGGACGCAATGCCGGTTCGCCGAAAACACGCGTGACAGTACTTCGTGTAATGGAATTATTTTGTCTTTAATCTCTCCGGTTTCCTCTTTTTAAACCTTCACCCCTTAACACAGTCCGTGACACTGGCAATGCGTCAAGATTCATCACGAAATTACAATGGAATGTAGCGATCCATTATGTAAACGAACCGCATTACTGTAGCTTCATGCGTGTTGCAACTTATTAAAAGTAGCGATCCTAGTTAAAAGGTTAAATTCGTAAGAAGATCGGTCACGGTCAGCTTGTTCTACGAAGCTGTGTTGGTCCCCGATATTGTTAAGAAGTCGCGTTCTACAAACATTTGTGTAGCATTTGGTGTGAAAGCAAATTTTGCATTACAAAACACTATGCTCTGCTAAAATACGCCTTCTACGTCTATTCTTCTCTGAAAATTTAGCTTTGCAAATCACTGTTTGCGTTCATAATAATACACGTGAGAATCATTGCACTTGGATCTCGCTCTTTCTCTCTCCAATTATAACACTGATAATTATACTTTATATAATAAATAATTGAATTGTAACGTATGCAATAATAGGTGCAATCAAACCCATCAATCTTCGATCTCCGCGATTTTTTATTACGGCTACATATATATATCGCTCATTTGCTGCAATAATGACATAACTAAAAAATCGCCCTTATATATATATATATATATATATATATATATATATATATATATATATATATATGTGCTTTGTTTCTAAATTTATAACGATACATATATATCACAAATATTTCAGCAAAAGAGAATTTTAAAATATCCTTTACTGACACACTTTCTGATATTGTAAATAACAGATAATTGATGAGAGTCCACTTGAACGAGGCGTTAAAACAGATCCACAGTAATTTAATATTTACGTAAACGCCTTCTGCGGGATGATAATCGGTGAAAAGGTACACATGTGAGGATTGTGACGCAATTAGCATTGGGTTGGATCTGCGCGACCAAGCGTTAATAAGCAATAATAACTATGTGCGAATAACAATAATAATTAGTGATGATTGTGTCTCTAGATATCCCTTGCCATAAATAATATAAACATCTTGTGGCTACTTCGTTGCACACAAATTACATTTTTTCATTCAGCAATTAATCGAAATCGAATATCATTGGACAATATCAATATTGTAACATAAAACAAACGAATTTTATAAAACGAGTTTTCTTTTCTACAGACAACATTTTGGGAAAAATATTAGAAAAATCCTCTACCAACGAACAAAATAAATATATTTTGTGTAAATATGTGAGTTACGCGCAACCTGCTCTCAATTTAATTGATAATATTTATTCCATAAACACATATATAAATCCTTTGCAAATTTAGTAAAAATTACTTAAACAACAAAAGAAATATTTTGATGAGAAAAAATGTCATCTTATAAATAAAATTTAATTTGAATAAAATAATATTTATTTAAAATAAATAATTACTGTAAAATGATTGAAAAATGAAGAGAATTAGAAAATAAAATTAATACGATAAAATTTTAAATATCTTTAAAAATAAGATTTGTGTGTGTGTCTGTGTGTGTATGTGTGTGTGTGTGTGTAGAGAGAGAGAGAGAGAGAGAGAGAGAGAGAGAGAGAGA